ACTGAGACAAGATTGCAGCAGAGAGAGGGTTTACTCACAAGGCAGCCACATGAGGAAGCGAGAGCATGAGCCTCAAACTTGCTTCCCCGAAAAGAGGGACTCAGGGACATTTATGAGGTAGGGGCAAGGCAGTCTGAAACGTGGAGAGAGGTGATGGGAAGTGAGGAGAGGTGAGGTCATTGATAATCCGCGCAAGTGCGGTCAGACTCCATGCCTCGTCACAGGACCCATGTTCACAAAATGGCGGTATTAGCATGATCTGAGGGTGGAGTTTCTAGCCTCTTGATGTCAAAGGTCGCCTATGGGACATCTGTGTGGGCCCAGTTGGGTTGGTGGTCTCAACCAGCCTGAAGTGGACAAGGAGTTCTAATTCCTGAAAAACAGTTCACACCCCTTTCCATGGTGACCCAGGCTCCAGCGAGACGTTATCTGTAGGAGCCTAGTGGGAGTCAGACAGCATACTGCCTCAGCAGCACAGGTAACAATGGGAGGGTTAAACAGCTAAAAGCCATAGTCAGTAATTGCAAAAAGGAAAAAACTTTAGTACCTAGATACTTAGTCATCAGTGGCTAACTCTTTGCTGGTTTCAGCTGGGTCTCAGACAAGTTTGGGAAACTGCCCAAGATGACAAGCTATGAGGACCAGAGTGAAAAATATCTGGTTCCTGTTACCTGAGTTTCGATGAGCATGTCATGATAAAAGTCACACTGATGAGGTTGCTCCTCTCTTTAAAACTCTCGTTCAGTTGAGTGACAGTGATGAGCTCATGCCGTACTTAGGGCCAAAACTGCATCATAAAGTCCTTCTCTGCTTTGGAAGGAAAAGCAGAAAACACATGCTCAGGGAGAAAGCCTGGGGCTGGCGGTGAGGGAGGGCCTCTGAGTGGCGCCAGCGTCCACAGCTGCCTGTGGTGAGTTCAGTGTGGCGGTGCGTGTGCTCTGACTCCTCCACGGTGCCAAGGGCACAGAGTGGGCGGCAGGCTGCAGGGAGCCCTTGCAGCTGGAGCAGGCAGCAGCAGGGCGGGCTGTCCCTGAAATCTGTCAACATCCCTGTGGGCGTGTGGCTGCACAGGCAGGGCCAGTGCTCAGGTCCAGGCCATAGAGAGGACTTGCGAGTCCCCAGAAAGTCTGCTCAAGTGACAGTGGGTGTACCCAGGCCAGTAGTCCGTGCGTAGGCTGGGACCCGCAGGCTCCCAGGTCACTGCCCCATCAGCCAAGCAGGGAATGGGCAGGGTGGGATCTCTGCTTGGTCCTCTGTGGCAGAGGGGCCACAGTGTCATCAGGTGCCCTGGGCGGGTGTGACAGAATGATCCTATCCCACATGGGCATGGGGCAGCAAATGGTTAAGCTACCAGCATCGTGGTGGTCCTGGGGAGGGGACCAGCTGAGCCCTTTTCAGAAGTGCCCCCAAAGAAGTTGCTCTGAAAGTAATGTGTCTTTAAAGCTGAGCCCACAGAGCAGGGTGGGAGGTGGGAGGCGCGGCTCAGGGAGCCAGGAGCCAGCCGCAGCTCCTGGAGACTCTGCACACCCCACCTCTGCCTCAGTGCCTTTGACCTGCAGAAACGGGAGGAGAATCTGAGAGGGCAAAGTGACGTAGCTGCCACTCTGGGCCACCTGAAGTCCAGAAACAACGTGCCTTTTAAAATCATTTCTTTAAATCAGATTCCTTTTGTGTTTTACAAATGTCACAGTTTTCATAACCAATTCTAACCTCATCTGTTAAGCAGACTTCACTGCCCACAGCTTCCAAAGCTGCATATTCAAACTTTGGGGGGATGATTTCTCTGCTTGGCTTAGGAGGCCAGATGTGACCCACTTTTTAAAATGAAGAATGAGGATCTTTTTGTGACGGGTAGATGCTGTTTCTGAATCACCGGGACAACCACTCCAGTGCACGCTGCCTGAGGTTTGTCAGCTGGCAGGCTGTACATGTCTTTGAACCCTTCCCAGAGCCTGGCCTGGGACCTTCTATGCGCAAAGGAAGAGCTCAATGGCCTCTTGTCACTTCCCCCACGTGCTGTGCTGGTCAGCCCCCATACGCATCTTCCCATCATCTAGCTTGGCTTTTCCACGTGGGATTCTGTAGAAAAGCAGCATTCCACCAAACATTAACAGGCATTACTCTGAAAAGAAGTCTGTGGCCAAATAAGCTGGCAAACAGAGAGACAAGGCTAGAAGGGTGTATTTTCCACAGGACTTTCCAGAGCCTTCTCTGGAAAAACGCTTTGTGCACTGTGAAGTTCAGGAGGGGCCTAGGGTGTGCAGACTTTCTCAAACGTATTTGACCAAATACTTTTTGCTGAAATATTAGCTTCTCAGAACTCCACAGAGCATGTTTGGAGACTAAGTTAACCACTACTGTCCAGAAGAAACAAAAGCACACAGCCATGTGCAGTCCTCTCTCAAGTGTAGACATTCGGGTCCTCTGCTGTCCTTGGCATCACAAAGCCCGCCGTCCACAGTGGAAGCCACATGTGCCATGTGCTTCGGCGCCTCCCCCTGATCCAGGAAATGATTCCATTCGTTTTCAGCTGTGCCAGGCACACAGCAGCCAGTGTGGACACCTAGAATCAGCCAGGCCTGTTAGAGGGTGGTCACTTTTAACAACTTTTTACTAAAAACAAGGTCAGGAACAAGAGAAGGCAGGGGGCGCCAAGTGTAACTGCAGGTTTGATTTGGTTAACATGAGGGGCAGTGAAGAGACAATGTGGGGTGTACACCCATTGGTTTGTGGGGCCTTGAGACCCTCAGCCAGCCTCATGCTTCCCACCGAGCCTGTGGGATTCATGCAAGTCAGACTTGAGGGCGACCGAGAGAGAAGCACCGTGAGAGCAGATGCCCTGAGGAAGCTTACCCTGAGGGAGCCATCTGCCTTTTCCCTGGAGAAAACATGTTCCCAGCTAGGATTGCAGAGTCGACACCCTCACTGGCCCTTTCTCACACCACTTGCCACTGCTCAGGTCTGGGAGGTGTTGTCCCCAGAAGACAAGCTGTGAGAAAAGTGCGCTGACACAAAGGTGGGCTTTCTGCTGGGCGCCAGGTGGCCGGCCGCTTCTTGTGTGCCTTTTCTCTTCAGCTGACTTTGTGCTCAGGGCCTAATGACACACACTTATTTGATCTTTCTCGCTCACCAGCTTTTTGTCGACAAAGACACGATTGTAAATGCTGTCGGGGCATCACATGACATCCACCTCCTGAAGATCGACAATCGAGAAGACGAGCTGGTCACCAGGATCAACTCTTGGTGTACACATTTAGTGGACAAGGTGAGTAAAGGCCAAGCCAGCCTAGCAGGCTGCCCCAGTTCTTCTGGCTACCAGCCAGGAGAAGTCAACCTTCCCTAGGAAGTGTGTGCTGTTTGCAATGAGAAGTGGGGCAGTAAAATCAAGGATGGCACAAGTCTACACTGCAGATTTCACGCTGCCCAGTCAGACTTTAAAGCGCACGTGCTTCGTCATTTTCCTAACCCTCTCCTCAAACACAGATAAGCGGAGCACAGGAGGCTTTGAACGAAACGAGGGACGTAACTATGCACATTTCAAAGAGCTACTTTCCTTTCCCCCAAAATGGACTCAGTAAAAGATATTAACCAATCATCTGACTTAAGGACATTGGGCTCTGGTTTCACCCCTTAGATTCACAAGGATGAGATCACGAGGAACCACAAGCGAGTGAAGGAGATCAATCAGTACATCGACCACATGCAGAATGAACTGGACAACCTGGAATGCAGCGATCTTATAGATTAGGGGCATGTCTGCCTAGAAGGTTCCTTTTGAAAACACAGCAGTCGCCCTGGCCTGTGAGAACACACACTGCACTGACCACCTCAGAAGAGAATTCCTGGGGATCTCTCAACCCATGACCCCCATAACACCATCCTTCTCCCACCCCTGGAAAAACTTTCAAATGGAGAGAAGAATAAAGGACTTTTGTCACCTTCTCTCCATTCTTTAAAAAAATAATCAGAATTCACATCCATGTTTGAGCAGGAGAAAAAGACCAAGAGGAGCCGCTGGCCTTGCACTGCTGAGAGCAGCTCCCAAGGGGCTCTCGGTGAGCCAGACTCTCCGCAGTGGCCTAATGTCAGCTGTGCGCCCCATGCTGTAGGCAGAGGCGGCTGACATGGACCAAGGCCTGCTCTCCAGGCACTGAGGAGTGAAGCAGGAGGGGCTGCACAGCGCAGGGGTCTGGGCCAGCCTGCCAGGGTGGAGGCCATGGCTCCCTGTGGCTCTGAACTTGGCTGCAGGGACTTGAGGACTCTCTGGAGGTTAAGAACATAGGCTGGGCACCCCACGTCACCTATGCAGCCTGAGCTTCATCTGTGAAGTGGGGATGTGACAGTACCTCCTCTGAGCATGGTCCAGGGGTTCAGCGAGAGCACACAGAAGGCGTGGAGAAGCACCAGCATGTGGCCGGTGCCTCATGATTGGAGATGATGCCCTTTCGTTACTCAGGTGTCCAAGGACAGGCGGCTCAGACAGACCTTGCTGCCTGGAACCAGGCTCTCCCTTCTTCCCTCCCACTGGGCCCCGACATCAGGAGATGGCACCTGCCTCCTAGCACCATGCAAGTGGCCAGGTTGGGGGGACTCTTGGGGTTCCTTTAGTGGGACACGTGCACACACCTCAGGTGGCCTTGCCAGGGCTGCCCAGGCTTTTAACCCAGAAACAACATATATTTTCCAATTTCAAGAGTAAATCAATTTAAAAAAAAAATAGTAGGAACAAAGAGAAACAACCAGCTTAGACCAAGACCGACTCACTTTGAAAGATCATTTGATTAAAAGCCAGGGAAAAAAAAGCCTTCAGGCTGAAGGCTGAGGATCACATGCAGAGTTGTCTGTTGATGACGTGATGTCCCCAGGGTGAGGCTCGGGCCACAGGCAGCAGGTATCAGAACGTGCTCTGGGAGGGAAGCTGTTGGACTTTGTTGAAACCGGGACCTAACGAGGAATGGAGAAAAGTGGAGGCACAAATGAAAACAAGGCTCGACACACTGCCAGGGTGGAGAAATATTTAATAAAATCAGAGTCAAGAGAAAGTCACTTGTACAACTTGTCCCCCCTGCTCAGAGCTGGCCCGCAGGGCTGGACTCAAGCTGACTCTGGACAGCTGCACTGTCTTGGGGGCATCTCAGGGCGATGCCAAGTTGGGGACGAGCCAGGGAGTCGTGTGGCTGTGCAGCCTCTGTCCTGCCGGCTGTGTGGTGCGTGCCGCCCGGGCCTCACTCCCGCAGGAGCTTGTGCTTGACTGTGGTGCTCTCGGAGCAGAGGTGGACGAAGAGGGCGCCAGCAGCCGTGCGTGCCCGCAGCTCCTGCAGCTCATAGTCGTGGGCCCACTCAATGTTGCCCCACTTCTGGATCTGAGGGGACGACAAGACATGCTGCTAGGTGAGCGGCTGCCTGCTGGCCAAAGCTACGTTCCACCCCTCTAGCTGGGCCGGGGGCCATAGGCTCCGATCTTACCAAAATACGTGAGGCATACATTGGTGGGGGCAGCAGGTAAGAACACGCAGGTGGCCAGAGCAAGCACCCGTGTTCTACAGGGTGTGGCTGGTCTGGGAGAAGTGTAGTCCAGGCCCAGGGCCGTGGGTGCCCACTACTCGGCGGGCCACGTGCCAAAACCACACGTGTATCTCCCCAGAGGAGGCCTTGACCTGTGCTGTCCCTTCTCCCATGCTTCTTCCCACAAGGACGCCACATGAGACAGTCTGTAAAATGTCATCCACTGTGAGCTGCCTCCCCAGCCTGGGCTGCAAGTGCCCCCGCATGGGTGGGATAAACAGATCAAAGGAGGCCACACAGTTGCTTCCTCTGACTCCTGGGGCGCTGCAGCCCTGCAGCGGCCCCTCTGCTCTGCACACGGGGGCAGGGCTGTGGATTCTCTCTCTGGACTCTAGAACTAGAGGGAGGAACCCTGGACACACAGTGAGTGTGGCTGTCCAGATGTCAGTGTGACTCCAACCCGACTCTGCTGGCTCCGGGCTGGCTGGGCTGCCCCAACCTGTGCAGGAACTCAAAAGCTGCCACAGTATACAAGCTTTCAGCACTTCTGGGCAGCCCAGTCTCAATGAGGACAGCTGTGGCCTGTCATCTGAAGAGCGTGTTACACTTCGAGAGCACTCAAGGAGTAATCCAGATCACTGCCCATCTTGTGGCAGATTGAACATGAAGTTCAGAGAAGGGTGCCCTGGCTCAGCTCCCATAGTCACAAGCAGAGTCTAGACCAGAAACAGGCTTCCTGGCTCCCACCTCCCTCAACTCTCACAGCCTTACACCCCACAGGTCACCCCTCTTCCCATTTAATTGTCTCTAACATCCAGAGGATAGCTAGCCTCTCTTACAATACAGAAACAGTTTTTTCCCAGGTATTTTCCTGAGCAGATGGACTTGGGAAATGGAGCCATTACAAAAGGAGTTTCATTGTCCTAGGAACCAATCTGTAACAGCAATTAACCTTCTGAGGTTGGAGGAATAAAACTCTGATTCTCAGAGTTAAAAAGTGCGAATGAAGGGCCGGCCCAGTGGTGTAGTGGTTAAGTTTACGTGCTCTGTTTTGGTGGTCTGGGGTTCGCGGATTTGGATCCCGGGCACAGATATGGCACCACTCATCAGGCCATGCTCTGGCAGTGTCCCACATAAAATCGAGGAAGAGGGGCAGAAATGTTAGCTCAGCAACAATCTTCCTCAAGCAAAAAAGAGGAAGATTGGCACAGATGTTAGCTCAGGGCTAATCTTCCTCACCAAAAAAAAAAAAAAAAGTGAATGACAGGGTAGCAACCCTATTAATTCTGAGCCCACTAATCAGAACCTGTGTAAAGAGCAGCGACCTGTGCACCCCCTGCCAGCCAGATGGCCCACTGTGTGAACACAGGTGCGAAGGCTCAGCCTGTGTCAGAGCACAAGTGTGGCTCCCAGTCACTCCAGCAGGACCTGCTCTGCAGGTGTGTCAGGCCCAAATGATGGCGATCTGCCCATGAACCTCCACCTGCAGAGTCGGGGTGAAGGCCTTGGCCCAAATCCTGGCTCCAGCATTTTCCAGGGGTGTGCCCCATGCCTTGGTTTCCTCCTGTGTAAAATGGGAATTTTTACAACAGCCCCACCTGACCAGGTTGTTGAGAAGAGGAGGTAAGGTGATGAGGGGAGAGCTGAGCACAGTGCTGGAACAGAGCAACAGCACTTACTACCATTATTTTTTTATTATTATTACTTGACAATACTTTGGCCCTTAGTTTTGGTTTCTGTTGGTACATGAAAGTAGTAAAGACCAAGTTTACATAAAAACAGATGGGTTAGCCACCCCCCCAGTTAGTCTGAATCGGGGGGGGGGGTGAGGCGGGGACGTGAGGCACCCCTCACCTGGTACTCCTCCTCCAGGCGTGACAGCAACACAGCCTGCTCCACGGTCAGGCGCAGGTCAATCAGGCCCAAGGTCAGCACCATGGACTTGAGCTGGGTCACTACAAACTCAATCCCTGCAGGGACACAAGCCAAGTCAGGGCCCAGGGCCCCTACCTGAGACAGGGCCGCTGCAGACCTGCTCCTGTGAGTCCCTGCAGAGAACAGGGAAGGTGCACAGGGCCAAGTGGGAACGGTCGCAGGGAACATCGCTTTTTGGCCAGTTCTGTATCCAGTCGCCATTTTTTCTCCAAGAGCACTCTGGTTTTCCTTGGGGTGATCCCTCCTCTGCCCCTACCTGGGCTGGGCACATGACCTAAACCTGGCTGTTCAGACCAGAACCTGGCGCAGTGACTGGTTCGTGAATGGGCATGTAACCTGGGCCAGGCCAACGAGACAAACTTGTGAATAAGAAGAGGAAGCCAACTTCCTCACATCCTCTCAGACTGAGTAAGAGGGTTAGCGTCAGAGCCACCCCCTAGAGCGCTCCTTGACTCTCTGGGCTTCGATGCCCAGGCTCATCACACCCACCCTCCCAGGCCCACAGCAAGTGCCATGCATACCTTGTAGGGCCCACATGTTATAAGACGCCAGGTGGCTGATGAGCACCTCCTGAGTCCTGGCTGGAATGCTGGGCCCCATTATGCTGGTGGAGGAGCCAATCTCCACGCCGTATCTGAAAGGAAAAGGCCTGGGCATGTTCCTATCATGCTTGTCACCCAACTTTTGCCCAGGAAGCAAAGTCCTAAACTGCTGAGCATGTGTATGCCCCTTCAGGGTCTGTCTTGTGGATTCTAGGAGCAACTGCCACTGTGGTTAGTGTCCTCCTGACCTAATAATTTTCTGTTGTCCAAGAGCAAAGCCAGAGGACCAAGAAACTGCCCTGAATGAAGGCATGGTTGGGCACGCATGCAAGCAGGAGGTTCGCTTATAGGTGGCTGCCTGGAATCGCCATCAAAAGCATAGGCTACCTCCTTTTTAAACCTTTTTTTTTTTTTTTTGAGGAAGATTAGCCCTGAGCTAACATCCGTGCCCATCTTCCTCTACTTTATTTGTGGGATGCCTACCACAGCATGGCTTGCCAAGTGGTGCCATGTCTGCACCCAGGATCCGAACTGGTGAACCCCGGGCCACCAAAGGGGAATGTGTGCACTTAACCACTGCGCCACCAGGCCAGCCCCCTGCTTTTTAAACCTTTTAAGAAAGTTTTTCACATTTGAGGCTATAAAAGATTTCTTTTATTTGAGAAAGATTAGCCCTGAGCTAACTACTGCCAATCCTCCTCTTTTTGCTGAGGAAGACTGGCCCTGAGCTAACATCCACACCCATCTTCCTCTACTTTCTATGTGGGACGCCTACCACAGCATGGCTTTTGCCAAGCGGTGCCATGTCCGCACCCGGGATCCGAACCGGCAAACCCCGGGCCGCCAAGAAGCAGACTGTGCGCACTTAACCGCTGCGCCACCGGGCCAGCCCCTCAATCATTTTTTTCAAATATTTATCAAGCCTCTACTATATATAAGGCATTGTTTTTGGTCTGGGACATGAGCTGGCTTCAAGAATGATACATTTTTTAGAATAATCCTAACTACATAAAACACAGGAAAAACACAATGGAGTAAAAGCAATTTTTGTATTTTCTTTCATATACCACTGATTTTTTCCCACTGGTTTAGAAATATTCTTGCTGGGGCCAGCTCCGTGGCTAAGTGGTTAAGTTCACGCGCTCCGCTGTGGTGGCCCAGGGTTCGGATCCTGGGCGTGGACATGGCACCACTCATCAGGCCACGTTGAGGCAGCGTCCCACATCCCACAACTAGAAGGACCTGCAACTAAGATATACAACTGTGTACGGGGGGGGGTTGGGGAGATAAAGCAGATAAAAAAGAAAAGAAATATTCTTGCTGAAATTTCTAATAGTATAAATAGAACATAGGAAATGGCCAAGATTTTCAGTAAACTATTAAGGATGAGAAATCTCAACCGCCACAAAAAGACGACAATTTTGCACCATAGCAAAGATCTCCAGGCACCTAAATTATCATTATATTTCATTCGACTCCAAAATGACATCATATCTTCACAGCTCTCACACAGTACTGTAGTTGTTACATTTTATCTGATCCTTCAGTGCAGGGGCGATGCCTTTTACTATAAAACCCAAGGATGCCTGGCACACTGCGGACACTCAGGACATGTATACAAATGAGACAGACATCACTTTTGTGAAAGACGCTATGCCAAAAATTACTCCACGTAAGCTTAAAAATCCTGTGGGCACAGTAGTACCGAGGTAGTAGCCCTTCGAAACTCCCCTTGGAATGAAATTAATTTATTTTGCCACCACATAATAGTCTGTTCAATTTTGCACAAAAGAGTCTTCCTGCAAAGGGAAAATATTAGGTATCATCAATGCCTAGAAACCATACATCCATAGGATAAATGTCATCTGTCATTTTGTGGGAAGATGTCCAGACTTTTCTCCATGTGTGTACATATCATACATACTGTTTTGTGATTTAATTTAATAGCAATTGTGACGATGATAAAGATGGTAACTGCCAAAATTTGACCATTTACTGTATGCCAAGCAAGATGCTAAGCCTCACTTTGTTTACTCCTCTCAACACCCTACGAGGTAGGGATTGTGAGCCCTGCTCACAGACAAGGAAGCTGAAGCTCAGAGAGATCAAGGTACTAGCCCAAGGTCACACAGCCAACCATGGCAGAGCTGGGGCTGTCCCTACACTCGGCAGAGTGCACGCTGATGGCAGGTGCATGGCGGCTGAGAAGACATGAGGAGCATCTTTCCAAGCCCTTCCCTGGACATCTGGGAGGGGCTGAGCCCAGGGCGCTCTGAACTCAGCAAGTCTACTAGCTAAGGGCTCTGGTTGTCCAGCGTGGCTCTCTGACCCCAACAGCCTGCCCAACACCGAGGGGCTGCAGATCTTACCTCTTCTCGGCCCATTCTATGACCGGGTCCCACTCGTTCTTTTGAAGTTCCACTAATGTCTCTGGCTCTTCCACCCTGTAGCTAATTCATTGCAAAAATCACCTTCATTAATAAAAGAGTACAATTCCTTCATTCAGTTACAGACAACAGAAAAGCACAAAAGACAGCAGCAAAAAAATCTTCTCCACCCCTACCCCAGCCCGACAGGGCTTTCCCCTAAAGCAGCGGTTCTCAGTGTGGCCTTAGAGCCAGCAGCAGCAGCATCACCTGGGAACGTGTGAGAAATGTGAATTCTCAGGCCCTGCCCCAGACCTACTGAATCAGACCCTCTGGGAGTGGGGCTCAAGCAGTCTTTTAACAAGCCTTCTAGCAGTTTCTAACGTAAGCTTGAGTTTGAGAACCACTATCCTAAATGCCCCCATGATTATTTGACAGACCAAAGTTTGCAGCACTGTATCCCGGGATCTACACCCACCTGATCCTAGGATGCTGTGCCAGAAGCTCAGTCACTGTCCCTACCCACCCTGACCCCTTCCAAGAGACTGTGCCCTTGGCCACAGACCAAGTTGCCTGCTTGCACCGCATAAGCCCACCTGCCTCCTGGCTATAGAAGCAGCTGCTGGTGTGGACACCTGATGCCACTTGATGCCAGGCTGTGCCACTGTTTTGAGCAAGAGATAGAGAGATGGAGTCAGCTGAGGGGAGCTGAGCTGCAAGGCCTCATGGGATGGGAGCCCAGTGGGCACTGTGGAAAGCCACAGTCTAGTGTGAGCAGAGGGGAGAGGAGAGATCACGAGTATGCAGGAAAAGCTGGGCTCCTGAGAGGAGCAGATGAGTGGACGGACTCTCCCTCACCACCCACTGGGGCAGAGGGAGGAGCTCTGCCATCCAATCTTCTGCTTCCCCTCCCTGGTGGCCCAAACATCCTTCATTTCCTATTAGGGTCACTATATACTGTTCAAGGAAACCCTTTTTGCCTGAACTAGGTTGAATGAGTTTCTGTTCCCTGCAATCTAACGGCCCCTAACGCTATGGAGTTGACTTTCTGATGAGTAACTCAGAAAGGGCACCACTGGCCGCCTCTCCAGGGGCACCTTTGCCCTCAGGCCACAGTGCTATTTCATGTGCCATCCATGAGACAAAGCAGGATTCTAGAGCACTCAGGGCAGTGACATGGTTCTACTCAACCACTTCAGCTATTTCTGCAACTTGCCTTCAACGTCACTAACCAGTTAGCTAAAGAACATAGACATGAGGAGAGAATTCAGAAGTGAAGGAAGCCAGCTCCTGAATATCAGTGTCTGACCATCTGTGTCCAAGCTGGCAAGTAAGGACAAGGATGCCTACATGAGACTATGCCAGTGAGAAGAAGTCCCAGGTCAGAGGCCCCACTGGGAATTGGCAAGTGACCCCCTTGTCCTGGAGCCTGCAAGAGCTGTCTATAGCACCATCCCTAGACCACGGGACAGCAGCTAGGCTGCAGGAGGGGAGTGCCCAGCGCTCTGACACTGCTGCAGCTTGGAGTCCTCCCTTCTAGGGATTTGCAGGGCAGCTAAATGCTGACGTCAAGCAGACCACCTTCCCTGCCCTGTGAGATAAAAGAAAAAGGTCTGCCTCTTCTTCCGCTGATAACTGTCTGGTCAAATGAGGCAAACAGCCCAAGGGACTCACTTGGTCCAAGGGGAATGCCCATCTAAATGTCAATTACCAGATGGTGTCGGTGTCCAGAAACTTCACAGCTGCTCGGATCAGCTGGTCCTTGTTTCGCTGGGTTGGGTTGTCTAAAGACGTGTTGCACAGTGTGGTCTGAATCAAAAGGCAGAGAGCCCTGTCACCACCTGCTGGGCCCAGGCAAAAGCACTGCTTCCCCGAGGACACTGCATCCAACACACAGCAACAGGGAGAACCAGACAGCACCACCAGCCCCGGATCCGAGGTGTCTGCACCTCAGCTGTAGCACATCCACTGAGAGCTGACTGCAGCCAAGCTCCACGCCAAACATCGCGTGCGATAGCTCATGGGATTCTCACAGTGGCCCTAGGATTAACGAACTCGCCCAAGGCCGCATGCTCTTTACTACCAAGCTCTGTTGTATTTAATTTAATCCTCATGACAACTCTTTGGAGTGGGTGCTATTAATATGCCCATTTCAGAGATATGGAAACTGAGGCCCAGAGACATCAAATTCAGCAAATAAGACATGTCACATTACTGGAACTCAAATGTGACGGAAAAGCTTAGGAGCTGGCTCCCTGGGCACCTTCAAAAGCAGGCCACAAATCAGCCAAACCAGGAGCAGGATTATTTTTCCAGATCTGCCTTGTCGACAGTAGCCTTCTCAGGTCCTCTAATGATTAATTTGTAGCCCTGATCACCCTAATTGCCTCAGATAGTCAAAGGAGCAGGCCAGCATGCAGCAGGCTGCGAAGATGTTGAAGAAGCCCACCTGGGTATGTATGTCAAGGCTGAGGACAGCGATGACCAAGACAATCACAATAACTCCAGTGCCGACTGAGTACTCACTCTGTGCCAGGGACTACCTCAAGGATTTTCTATGGATCCTCCCATCCCTTCCTGACCACCACTCCACGAGGAGGGTGCTATTATCACTCTCCTTTCACAGATGGGGAACGTGGGGCTGAGAGGGTGCAGTAACCTGCCCAAGGTCCCCATTTGGAAGCTGCAGAGCCTGGAGCCCAAGATTCTAGCCAGTCCCTGCCCCAGTCTGCACCGGGGCTGGCTCCAGGGGAGTCGACCTCACCTCACCCACCTGCCCCCACAGGTTCTTGCCCTCAATACTGAGTGCCATCTAAACCTCACGCTAGGGGACTGGCTATGCACTGGTGAGTAAGACAGACATGGCCCCGCCCTATGCTTACAAGGCATTGGAGGAGACAGACAATAAGCATGCAAACATAAAACAGTCAATTACAAACTGTGTAAGTGCTGACGAAACAAAGGAACAGCTGTCAAGGTAGAAAACAAGACAGCTGGGCAGTCAGGGAAGGTGACGTCTGTCCTGAGACCACAGGAGGAACGAGCCAGCCAGCAGGGTGTTCTGAGCAGGGGAGCTGCAGGGGCCAGACCACAAGTGGGAACATTCAGTCCGTTCAAGGAGGCAAGTGTGGCTGGAGCCCGCCCCAGAGGGCCTTATTACAATCTGGAAAGGAGTCTCAATCTGTGCCAGGTGCCCTAGGAAGCCAGTGGGCATCAGGGTGTAGGCGTGTGAGCTTGTTACCAGGTGCATAGTGTAGAACTTGATGGTGTCCTGTTGGGAGTCCCATTCAGTGGCCACTGCGATGGCCAGGGCCTCGCTGGGAACAGTAAAGAGCTTGGCTTGGGGAGTTTTCAGCTTTCTGTGGTCCAAGTTTATCTCAAAGCCACCTTGAAAGAGCAAATGAAAAGTTCTCAGGGACTGTTACGTGGAATCAAGTGACCGTTCCTAGATTTAGCTACTTGAATTGGTAAAGACGAAGACAACTCTGAGTTCCTTCACCAAGGGCTTACAGAAACACGTGACAAAAACGCAAAGGGTAATCTCACTGCTGAAAAGGCAGGAGATGAAAAATGTGTCTACTCATTCACTGAAGAAAAAAAAAGAAACAGAGGCAGTCAAAATTTCAGACACTCACCTTCTCCCTGTGTGATGCTGACATTCTGATAAAACCTCTTCCTTTCTGTGAGAAAGATTTTTCAAAAAGGCAGTTTAAGGTAACACGGAGTCAGCTCAGAAAGTGACAAGACCAGTTTGTATCATTACTGCTAATACTGATTGATTGGCCTGATTTTCATAGCACCATTCAAGGTCTGCCCTACGCTATGCGGGATAATCAACGGCTTCTGATTAAAGCTGGGGGAGGAGGGCATTCACTCTCCAGGGCTGAGGGAGGAACAGGACATGCTGGTCACGCCTCTACCTGGCCCCAGGCCCAGAGACAGTCTGATCACGCAGCAGCACGAAGCTGCAGACTGTCTGACCTGACAGACTTTTCCAGCACCTTCTGCTTTAACTTCTAAGCATACTCCCTCTGTGCTGCCCCCACCAGCACTGCCCCTATGACAGCAAAATGTGCCCGAATCTAATGATGGTATCTGAATGCAATAAAGCCAGAGATCCACTTCAGGCAAGACCGTTGCCTCTAAGAAGGCATGAGTGGAAAATCAGCGTGAGCCTGCATGTGTGTGTGCATGTGTGCATGCATGTGGTGCACAGGCAGTAAGTAGAGATCTCAGGAGCATTTCCCATTCCCTCTATCCAATTAATTAACCTAATTTACCAGCTTGCTTGTGTATTCAAGAGGAACTCCAAACATTTCCTTTAAGAAGGGGGAAAATCTGTCCTGTGTTTTATTTTGAAAGTAACAAATAAAATCTTACATAAAAATGTAAACACATTCCTCCCTCTTTTACCTGAAGGGATTAAAAGCCAAGAGCACCTTGTAAGGAATTATACGGATTCCATCAACTAATAAAGAACAAATGAGCCATATTTTGGAAGCTATAGCCCATAACCCAGTCTTCACCATCTACGATAAACACAAACCCACACCCTCGTCTGTTCATTCACTGGTTTGTTCTTTCACGTGTTCATTGGGTGCGGAAGCCGTTGGAGTCCCTAACTAAAGTTACTTATTAGAAATAAGGATGCAGTATTGGGAGGAAAAGGAGATTCATTAGTTTTTAATGTTTTTTAACTTCTTTTAATGCTTAAAAAACCCCACCAAGCTAAAGTTAAAATTGTATGAATTCAAACAGACTATGAACATCAGGATAACTTGGTAGTGTGCGTGGGAGGAGGGGAACTAGAGAGGGGTCTCTGGTCTTCAAACCGTATTTTATGTTTTCCACATCATATCAGTTTTTTCGTTAATTTCATTTGCTATCATTAACGCTTAAATACAGAGGGCCGAAAACCACATTTCCATGGTTGCACTTACTAAACTAAGGCCCAAACTGTTTTCTCACAAAAAAAATATTTGTGTGCCTACTATGTGCAGGTTTTGTTCTAGGTACAAGGGATAAAACAGTGAATAAAACAGACAAAAAGTCTTGTCTGCACGGAGTTTAAATATTTTTTTAAAAAGTGATCGGATCTGGCCAGCAAGATGATGCTGTATTATTATGGCACAATTTACCTACCACCTTCATCCGAAATCACACTGACTCTCTCAGACATTTGACACTAAAATACGAGGTGTACACCACCCTGGTGCTTTTAGATTTCCCTGCTTCACAAGCTGTCCAGGTCACGTTCAGAGGGTGGGGGACACATAGGTATGGAGGCCTGCGTCGAGGCATCCAGACCATGTTCAGTATGCTCTGCAATGCCTGGCTGGGCAGCAGGTCTAAAGCCAGGCCAGGCAGGAAGTGGGAAGAGCTCTGAAAGCCCTGACTCATCACTGAGGGAAGGGTCCACCCCATGGGCAGGAAATGCCCGTGGAGAGCATTCTTGCCAGTGCCCCATAAGCTCCAGGAAATGGGCCCATGAGACCTGGGGCCGAGCAGTGGACTCAGGCAGAAACTGATAGGTGAACCTTCCCAAGCTGCCAGGATAGCGGGGCTTCCCATAAGGAAAGTCTTTTTTTCTGCTTTGCTGGTCAGGCCTTGGCTTTAATGTCCTGGCCAGGGCCACCTCTGAATCTGATCAAGAAGGAAAAACTGGAAGGGAGTGGGACAGATGGAGGGTCAAGGAAGAGGCAACCAAAATTGCTCACGACAGGAGAAAACCATGCAGAAAAACAGATGACAGAAGGGCAAAAGGAGCTCAAAGGCTGCCGGGCCTCAGACTTAGGTGGGGCACGCTGGGGCATGTCTTAGAAAGGTACTCGTCTGCATGGAGCACGCACGTGGAGGACAGACCACGGGCGGCGAGGTTTAAAGACTAATCCCACTGCAGCAAGTGTGGGAAATCCTCGAGATAGGACTCAAAGCTCACCCCTGCCCTCGAGGCACTTACTGTCCAGCAGGAAGATGGACACTAGACCAGCCAAACAATGAAGTGACTGACTGTGATGGCCAAAGTACATGGAACACTGAAACACATGCTGGGAAGACTAATCTGATCGTGGGCTGCCTCCAGGCAGTGAGATTTCCTCTGAGACCTGAAGAAGAGGCAAGAGTTAGCCCATCTGTATTGATGGATTCGTTTTTGGAATGGGTGTGTGGGGAAGTAGTTTCTAGCAGAACAGCTTACACAAAGGTCCAGGGCTTCAAGAGGACACAGAGTTTTGGAGAACTAGAAAGATGGTCAGGACAAGACCATAAGTATCCAGTGGAGGATGGTTAGAGATGCCCAGAGAGCGCAGTGGGGGCCAGATCTGGGGAGAGGGGGCTGGGTAGGTCACAGTAAGGAGGGCAGAGGGAGCCAAGTAAGGGGTTCACATAGGCAAACAAGAACAGGATCTGGAAAATTCATTTGGTGGGATCCATGCTCCCCAATGTCAAAAGACAGAGGTTCTTTGCCTGGGCCTTCAAAGGTCTTGGGTCACGTAAGACAAATCATGAGACCAGAAGCCTGTGAAGTTCCTTACTCTCTGTGAATATAGGGCTGGCTGACAGCAACGGGAACACCATCTTTAAAGACAAAAGAAACAGCCTAGCCTTGTAGGATCACACAGAACTAAGGTCTATTTTGAGAATGAATCACGCCCTCAACAGAACATCTGTTTCTGTGGCAAAAACACACTTAGTGCCTTTTGAGACACAATTTGTGCACTATGTAGATACAAAGAAATGGGAATGTGAAAAAGTGTTGAATTTAAAAAGCTGGCCACAGGAAAACAGGCTACATAGGTAGAGAACAACTTTAAAAACCTGCTCATGTGAAAAATGCTGACTTGGGAATTAATGTCCATTGGGTCCCTTTTTCCTATGGGGTTGCTTTAGTCCATATAAGAAACAGGCAGTTTTCTGTGTCACTTCCCCCGACACTCTTCCTCCTGTTCCAGGCTTCACGGACCAGTGAGCGGTCTTTCTACCAGCCTCAGTTTCCGGGCTTGCCTTTACTTTGGAAAGACTCAAAGCGTCAGAACTACAACTTCCAGAGTGCCCCACGAACAGAGGAAGTGCCTTCTCAGAGCTGTCTCAACACCTTTTATCTTTTTAAACAGTGCCATCTGGTGGGCCTTAAACCTGAAAGCTGAAGTTCTGACTCAGGGCATCCCTCTATCCATAATCCTAAGGCGGCTTCTACCAAATGTTTCAGGGATCAAAATTCTTCATGTCAACGATATGAAGAACTCTTGCAACTCAATAATAAAAAGACAAATAACCCAATTAAAAAATGGCCAAAGGATCTGAATAGACATTTCTCCAAAGAAAATGTACAAATGTCCGATAAGCACATGAAAAGATGCTCCACATCATCCATCATCAAGGAAATACAAACCAAAACCAAGAGACACCACTTCCTGCCACGGGAGGGCTATAATCAAAAAGACAGATGTTAATAACAAGTGTCGGCAAGGATGTGGAGAAACTGGGAGCTTCACACACTGCTGGTGGAAAGGTAAAACGATGCAGCCAACTTGGAAAGCAGCGTGGCAGTTCCTCAAAATGTTAAACGGTTACCATTTGAGCCAGCAATTCTACTCCTCCATATATGAGAAATGACAACGTACGCTCACATAAAAACTTGTACACAAATGTTTATAGCAGCATTCAGAATTGCCAAAAGATGGAAACAACCCAAATGTTCATCAACAGTGGAATGGACAAATAAGATGTGGTATGTCCACACGATGGAGTATTACTGAGCTATGAAAAAGAATGAAGTACTGATACACGTTACAACTTGGGTAGACCTTGAAAACATGCGAAGTAAAAAAAAAAAAAAAAAAAAAGCCAGTTAAAAAAGACCCCATTCCATTTATATGAAATGTCCAAACTAGGGAAATCTAGAGACTGAAAGTAAAGTAGTGGTTGCCTACCGCCAGAGGGACAGAGAGGGTGAGGGAGGTTGAGAGTTAAAGGATACATGGTTTGTTTTGGGGTGATAAAAATGTTCTAGAATTGACTGTGGTGATGGTTGCACAATTCTGTATGTTAACCATTGAACTGCACATTTTCAAAGAGTGAATGGTAAGTGAATTATATCTCAATAAAGCTGTTAAAAAAATTCTTCAGGCCAAATGTATCTGCCATAGCAATTAATGTAAATGGGGCAAGTGACAAACACACTCGTTTCCAAGTTGCTCTAGCCCCCAGAGCAGGGGTTGGCAAACTTTTTCTGTAAAGAGCCAGAGTAAATATTTTAGGCTTTGCAGGCCGTACAGTCTCTAGTGCACCGAGTCAACTCTGCCACTGTCCTGACAGCAGCCCTAGGAGATACGTAAAGGAATGCACAAGGCTGTGTTCCAATAATACTTTTTTTAATAAAATCGGGTGGAAGGCTGAACTCCTTACCTACAGAATCTCCCTTAACCCAACACAACCACTCTATGAAGACAGGGCAGGTAACGCCTCTGGGGTGCTGGAGGCTCTCAGAAGCTGAATGACTTGTCCAGGTGATAGGTGCCTTGTAAACAGAGGAGACAAGACTTCCAGCCCTGACTTCACCGGGCACTGCACTCAGCCAGATATGCAGTCTCTCTACAACACCTTCCTTCCCCCTAAGCAGCTGATGGAGCTCCGACAGCTGGTACAGACAGACGGCCACGCAGCCTCACACAGGTCTCCTTGCTGCAGTGTCTCCCCCAACGCCTGGGTGACCCTTTCCTAACTGCCTCCTCTCCCGACAGCCTTCAATGGCAAGGCCACTCCTAAGGAGCCAAGTGCAATCTGCTGACCAACTAAGTCTTCATCAAGAAGGCCCCACTTGGGTTTAATCTTCTACTACTACAAAGATTCACAGAATCTCAAACTGGTAAAGTCTGTAAAGCGCTCATAGGCCTGGTTGACGTACCGCCCTCCCGCTGTGCTCCATTCTTTCCTTCATTCATATTTTCTTTCATGTTTGACTAGCTACCGTGTGCCAGGCACTTCCAAGAGCCTAAACCAGTAAGTCTACAGTAGAAAGGAAAAGGAAATGGCAGATCAAGTGCCACCATAACAGGAAGTGGCCTCCACTAACCTAAATTAACCCTCTGCTCGTGCCAACTTAAGTGAACTCCTGAATGTGTCCCCTTTGCTAGTGTCGTGCCTCCCTGGGATGTTGTAAAGGAAAAAAACAAATAACTCTTATTTTCCTCTACACACTCACACAGACACCCTGCACTCCAAATGCGTGAGGGTTTTCCCACCAATTAACTCTGCAACACCAGCTGGGTGTCCTATAATTTAATTAAGTTCTGACACTGTCTACCTGGAGTCAGCTTCAGATCCCACAGGTTAAGGGCTCAACCCCACAAGACTGCATCCTCTGCTGCCCCCATGCCCCACTGCAGACACCAACTGCAAGTCCAGGCTGTCACCTGTGCTTCTGACCTGTAACTTGGAGGTTCCCAGGACCCCTCCTTGGGTTTCATTAATTTGCTAGAGCAGCTCACAGAACTCAGGAAAACATCTTACTTACTAGATTACCCATTTATCATAGAAGGATACAACTCAGGAACAGCCAGATGGAAGAGACCCAGAGGGCAAGGAATGGAAAAAGGAGTGTGGAGCTTCCACACACTCTGGGCGCACCACTCTACCAGCATCTCCACGTGGTCACCAACTGGGAAACTCTCCGAACCCTGAGGTTCAGGGGTTTTATGGAGGCTTCAAGGCATAGGCATGATTGATTAAATCACAGGCCATTAGTGATCAAGTCATTCTCTTGCCCCTCTCCTCTCCCCAGAGATCAGGAGGTGGGGCTGAAAGTTCCAACCCTCGATCTCGTGGTTGGTTCCCCTGGCAACCAGCCCCCATCCTTAGGGGCTTTCCAAAAGTCACCTCATTAACATAAACTTAGATGTGGTTGAAAGGTGCTTGTCATGAATAACAAGATGTTCCTTTCACCTTTATCACTCTGGAGTTATTTCAGGACAAAAGACCAAATATTATAACAAAACATTATCCTACAACTCTTATTGCTTAGTAAATTACAAAGGTTTTAGGAAACGTGTGCCAGCACGGGACAAAGACTAAATATATACATATTTCCTATAACAAATCACAGTATCACAGAGTCCCTTCCTTCTTCCTCTTTACTGGCTCTTCATTGCCCACTTCCAGGCCCTTCACCTGGGCCCTGATAGGGGAAACCTCAGCTCCCTGCTGCATCTTCCCCATTTGTATAAAATTATGGGACTTAGAAGAACTCTCGGAGGCAACCTAGTCCTTCAACTCACAGAGGAAAATAAGGTGAGAGGAAGTAGTCACATGCCCAAGATCACACAGTACCTCAGAGGTTCAGCCAGCATCAGACCCCAGATTTGGACTTCTGCCACAATGCCAAACTGCCTACAGAGTTCTAAATTTTCTAAAGCAGACGTTGTTACACCAAGGTCCCTCAATCCCCGCTGTCACCTCTGGACATGTTCTAGCCGCCAACACTCCTCCTTCTCTACACCAAACTCCTACTCATCTATCAAGACTCAGCTTAAACATCCCTTCACCCAAGATCCTTTCTAGATCCGCAGCACTCCCAAGATGGGAGTAGGTGCTTCTTAGTGTTCTCACAGCTTCTTTGCACTTCCCTTATCACAGGATATTATCAGCTCCTGTTTAATCAGGATCGCATACCCTTCTGCACTGGACAGTGAACATCAGCCATGTGAGAAGTACGTGTCTTGAAGACCGCAGTGCCTTTCGCCCTCAGCACAGAAAAACTAACCGAATGGAAGGAGAGTGTTACTACTCTCCACCCACTTAAGGGAGTCACTCCCACTCTTACTCTGAAACCTCTCCCCAGAAGCAAAGAGTGAGCCACTACCTTCTCGTAGGCCTCCTCCTAGGTGATAGGGCAGTAGGAGGGAGGGCCAGGAAACCTGCAGAGAAAGTGGCCGAGATGCAAGACTGCCGGGGTTCCAGGCCCCTTCTGTGCCGGGTCCTGGGGACACAGAAAGCAGTCAGACAGGCCGACCTTTGCCCTCCCTAAAACTCTCAGAGTCTGCTCTGTGACCTTGGCGTAGTCCTGATCCAGAACCTGAATTTCCTTGCCTGAAAACAAGGATGACATCTTCTTTCCTTACTGAAGAGAGGAAAGCCACAAGCTTTGAGAAGAGATGCACTTGCCAAATGTCAATTACTGTGTCCTGCCGTGCCGCGCTTTGTGCCCTAGGGTGGTCCCTGCCCTTGCCTGGGCTTCTTTCCCGATCTGAACTAGCATCCTATTCACCAGCGTAACCTCAGGAGCCCGCGCCCTGCCTCGGTTACCTCTGCCCGCGCGGCCGAACCCCGCAGCCCACCCTAGCCCAGCTCGCTTTTGGCCAAAAGGGAACGTGCCTGGCCTCCCTCACCTGTCAGGGGGGCGTATGCCCGGGCTTGCAAGCGGGGGTTTGGCCCCGGCCCCACGGAGGCGATGAGGCCACCCCGGGGCCGGTTCAGGAGGCGGCGCCCCTCGTCCCACAGCCGGAGGCAGCTCCTCCACATCGCGCCTGGAAGGATGACCGGCGCGAAACCTGAGAGCAGGAAACACAGAGTGAAGGGATCCCCAAGCCGCACGCTCGGGCTGTACGGAAACCTGTCACCGCCTCCCCCAGAAGCCTCAGCCACTCCTGGACGCCGCCATCTTCCGCATGACACCAACGGCGCGCCGTCGCTCCCGCGCGCCTCGTGCGCACACCCCCGGTCAATCAGCATCACAAACGCACCTCGCCCCGCCCACTCCACGCCGCGTCTCGGGAAGAAGACTACAAGTCCCAGAGGGTCCCTGGCGCACCTCGCCACGTGTTTTCTCTGCCCGCCAATGGGTGGAAGCGCCGCATGAGCCTGCTCCCGCCCCCCGGGCGCGCCCGAGCCAATTGGAAGGGGTGGTGTGTGTGTGAGGGCAAGTGGGGAGGGGGACTCGGCTCAGGACCGGGAGGCCCTACTCGCAGGTCTCGGGGTCCCGGTGGCGGCCGGAGCGCTTGGTCCGCAGGCAGTGGGCGAGTGGTGCCCCTCCTGCCCCAAGCCCCACGCGCGCGCACCCCAGCCCCTCCCTCCCTGCCACCCTCCGCGGCTCCCGCGCGCCGGCGGCGGTTCCTCTCCCCCTCCCCCCAGCCCTGGCTCCGGGGGACCCCGCGATGCCGGTCCGCACCGAGTGTCCCCCGCCGGCCGGTGCCTCGGCCGCCTCCGCGGCCTCGCTCATCCCGCCGCCGCCCATCAACACCCAGCAGCCCGGCGTGGCCACCAGCCTGCTCTACAGCGGCTCCAAGTTCCGCGGCCACCAGAAGAGCAAGGGGAACTCGTACGACGTAGAGGTGGTGCTGCAGGTGAGCGCCGGGCCGGGCTGGGGCCCGAGGGCCTCCTCGCGGCGCTCACGGGCCGTGCCCGCCCCCGGCTCCTCGAGCCCGCAGCCGCGACCAGGCCCTCGCCGCCAGGCCTCCCGCAGCCGGCGCTTCACCCCCGGGACTTGCCCAGCTGGTGTCTCACACTCTTCAAACCCCAGCCCTGACCTGCCCCCTCACACCCGGAGCCTGTCGTGAGCAGCTCCTGGCAGACCTTGAACACTTCCCAGACATGAAGCCCGGGACCGGCCCGCCTGGGATCCGGAAGCCCCCTAGGACTCGCCACCCTCAAACCTGGGTCCTTCATCCTCGTGACCTGTCGCCGCAAGATCAGCCCTCCCTCATTCCCTCTCAGATCGTGAAGAACTCTCCGTTGGTTTCTCCTGATTCGGGACCCTCCCCAAGGCTAGGCCCATGTCTGGTTCTCCCAGTCCTGAGACATGCCTCCTTGCCCTCTTTCCCTGGTACCAGGAATCCTCAGACCCTGGGGCCCCCCCTCTTCCTCCTATGATCTTTGGGAGGAAACTTAGTCAGCCCCCTCAGATCTGGGAGCACCCTCACTTCGTTAGCTCCTGGGCCTAAGAGCCCACAGCCCACAACTGACTCCTGGCCCATGGCCTCCCTCAAGACCAGGCACTCACATCCTGGCTGCTCCTGGGTGGGACTTCTCACGGCATGTTAGGAATTGTGTCCTGGGACCCCCTACTGCTCCAGTCCCTTCCTGGCTGGGACGCCCAGGCCTCCTGCCCCAGACTTCTCATACTCCCTACCCCTGTGCTCTGGCCACTTCCAGTCTGCTCCCAGGCTCCCTGGCCTCCCTACCCAGACCGTCCCACTTCATAACCTTCATATTCCTCTTTCCTTAGCACCTGGCAACCCTATTCTTAACTTTTATCTACGTAGCCAGGGCTTCCTCCTGATCTCTGAAACCCATGTACTGGGAAATGTAACTCACTCAGTTTTATTTCTCACATGGATAGTTCCTTCTCATGTCCATCCACCTCCCCTCATTTGACCTGGATTTCTGATTGTCTGCTGTCAGCCCCCGATAGCTTCGGAACTACAGCCTCACCTGCCCTGGCCCTTTCCTGCCCCTCACCCCTCTCATGCAAATGGTGGCACATTTGGCATTTTTTTCCAGGCGAAGGAGATGAACAGTGGTTAATAGTCCTTTTTCTCTCCCTTCCCTACAAAACCGTTCTTTCTTTCCACCTACCCTTGCCTGCCTTAGGACCCACTTCCCCCCTCCCTCTGCCCCTTTGTCCTTAGCCTGACACCCTGCTTCCTTCGCTGTTCCCAGAAGCCCCTCCGAGCAGCTTTCCCCCTTGAAAGGTCTTAGAGAAGTTTTGTGGTCCTAGTGTGCTGCTTTAGGGCTCCCATGTGTGAGGAGAGGATGCAGGATGTGTCTTTTCCTTAGGCTTGCCCTTTGCCCTTTGCAAATTTTAAATCTTAACCTCTCTTCTGAAAAAGTAGGTCTTCCACCTGAAGGACTCTGGGAGTGCATTTTCTTTCTGCATACTGCATTCATCAGCCTCTTTTTTCTTACTGTTTTGTGGGAATAAGTATTTTTCTCTTTTTTTGATTGGGAAAACTACATCTTCATGTTAATTGTATCTTTGGTCTATAAACTTATATTTCTGTTATGAGCCATGATACTTATTGTAAGTGAAAAACTTGTGGCTGAGATATTTCGGTCTTCATAATTATATGTCTCACGTAGTGATACCCCTTCCCTTTTGCTTAAAATGTGAGAATTTAGTATGAAGGTACAGGCTTCTTTTTTTTTTTTTTTGCAAGTAATTACAAAATTCTGGAAGTGCGATCCCTGGTGTGGACCATGTTTGGAATGATCTTGAATTTGTGCCCATTGTTAAATTTGATGGTTTCTGATGTAGGGGACAACTGGCAGGGTAGCTAAGTCTCAAAGAGAAGTCTGTTTTGGTTACTCCGACAGCTACTGTCATTAGTGTGTTATTTCTGAATTCCTGTCAGGTGCCAATTTCCTTGTGAACCAGTGGAAGAAGTGATTTGGTTGGTGCACGATTGCTAGGTCTCAGGGCAGCCCAGAGCAGAAACCTGGCTGACGGCTGGAAGCCACTTGAGTAGGATGTCTGATGGTGGGGGTGGTGGTGATGCCCAGGAATGCTGCCCTACATCTGGATTGGTGAGCTGTTTGTCCATCATTGAGACGAGTCAGTGGCATGTGAATTGCCCCATCATCTGGTTTTTCAGCCAGAACTAGTTTCTTGGACTCGACCTTCCTAGAATACTTCTGCCTTTTATAACTCAGCCTCTTTCCAGCTTTCTTTCTTTTTTTCATATCAGCTTAATTGGGATATAATTCACATACCATACAATTCAGCCTTTTAAAGAGTACAATTCAATAGTTTTTAGTATATCCACAGAGTTGTGTAACCATCACTGCAGTCTAATTTTAGAACACTTTCATCACCCCAGAAAGAAACCTCATACCCCTGGCCGTCACCCCCCTCCAACTGTATGCAACCACTAATTTTTTCCCCCAAGATTTGCTTATTCTGGACATTTCATGTAAATGGAATCATACAATATGTGACCTTTTGTGTCTGTCTTCTTTCACTGAGGATGATGTTTTTAAGGTCCACCTGTGTCAATGCTTCATTCTTTTTTATGGTTGCATAATAGTCTATTGTATGGATATATGACATTTTATTTATCCATTGATCAGTTGATGGATATTTGGGTTTCCACTTGTTGATTGTTAAGAATCATGCTGCTATGAGCATTCTTGTGCAAGTTTTTGTCTAGACAGACATCTTCAGTTCTCTTGGGTGTATACCTAGGAGTGGAATGCCTGGGTCATATGGTAACTCTATGTCTAACATTTTGAGGAAGGGCCAGACTGATTTCCAAAGTGGCTGCACCATTTTACATTCCCACTAGCAATGTATGAGTGTTCCCGTTTCTCCGCATCCTCGTCAACACTTGCTATTGTCCATCTTTTTGATTGTAGCCATCCTAGTGGGTGTGAAGTGGTATCATTGTGGTTTTGATTTGAATTTCCCTAATGACTAATGATGTGTTGTGCACCTTTTCATGTGCTTTTTGGAGCACTTTCTTTTTTAGAGATTTCAGTTTGAAGAGTTCCTCAAACCTTTGTGATTCTGACTGGGTTTGTTGTTGTTGGTATTACCATGACTATTCTCTTTCTCCTCTGCCATCCAAGAAGCCAAGAGTGAAGCGAAGGCCAGGGCTACTGTGAAAACAGCAGCTGTTGGACACAGCTGTGCTGTGAGAACTTCTTGCTAAGCATTTGCCTTGTTCTCTTTCTCAGGGAGATGCCGGCCTGTCATTTGGTTAAAGCTCTCTGAGTTGTGGTGTATTTGAGTTCACCAACCGTCATCAAGATCAATTTGGGCAGAATGAGAGAGACACGTGGTTGAACGGAGGCCAAACTGAAATTCTGATTCTTGAGCATGTGATAATCCATGCAAAATGGTAGCCAATTTACAGTTCAATTTTTAATCTTATTAGCAAATATCCTTGCCACCTGATCCCCTTTCCAGCAGCTGTGAAACCCCAGACTATGTTGAAGGCAGTGAGAACTGCATCCATGAAATTTAAGGCCTCAGCTTAGAGCTGTGTGTCCTTTAATAAAAGTTCTTTGCTGAACCACGTCAGTGCGGGTCAGCTGCTTTAGATAATGTCCAGTGCCAAGGTCAGCAGATGCTTTTGCAGTTTTCACATGGAATACCTTTGTCACAGCACCAAAACTGGGAGCACTTCAGCCTCATTGAACCCACTGGCTCTGGTGCTGACCTCGTCTGGTTGACTGGGTTCATTACAGTTTTTGCGGATCGCCTTAGTATTTGATTTATGGGGTAATTTGGAAGTGGTGGAGTCCCTGAGTCTGATAAATTCCACAAAACCTTTCCAGTTTCTTAAAATGAGACCTCACTTAACATTAAAGTCTCAATGTGCTACAGTACCACTGTACCCTGTTTGGCTTTAATTCTAGGGGTTTACTCTCTGAGTGAATCCCACTGTCATGAAATCTGAAAATCTGCCCATTCAGGATGAGTATAAATTTGGGTGAAATGTACTAGTTAGTATGCGTTCAGCTGCCAGTAACCATACCCATTTCAAAATAGCTTAAAGAATAAGTGAACCTCTTATCTCACATTGCAAGGAGTTTAGAGAGGGCTTGGTTCCAGACTGGCTCATTCAGCAGCCTGTTTCCTTCCATCTTTCTGTGCTGCCATCCTTGGCATTTCCTGGCCTGTTTTTCCTCATGGTCTCTAGACGGCTGCCACAGGACAGGGCACTGTGTGTGGATGCTGCCACCACCAGGGAAGAAAGAGAGCCCCTTCAAAGCCAAAATCTTTCTCAGAAGCATCCAGGAGACTTACACACTCATCTAATTGGTCAGAACTGGGTTACTCACCCCTAAACTGATGACTCGCAAGGGGACGGGGACACATATTTGCCTTGGATCCCTCAGGCTTGACCAGGGCTTGCAGAGGCAGGGTAGGTGCCAGAACAAGATCTGGGCCCTGCGTGCGTGGAAAAGTAGGGAATTGGTTGTTGGGTAGGCATCTGGCGGTGTCTCAGCAACTGATAATTGATGACTGCTAAACCTCAGAATCTATGCCTGTTACCCCTGTTTATTTTAGGCTCTTCTTTTCATCAAGAAATACAGGCATCCATATATGATAGGGACAGAGTGAACATTCACAATATATTCAGATTTTGGGTCAGCATTTTGGTTCATAATTGAAATTTATACTACCTACATCTTTGTAAGATGCCTCTCCTGAACATTCTGCCCATTTCATAAAGAAATAATGCAGGATGGTACGTAGTGAAAATGTAGGGGAGTGGTAGACTTGCTCGACCAGTGATTGAGCAGCATGGAGATAGAAATAGGCTAGAAAGACATGAGGAAGCCACTGAAGCCCAGGTTAGGGATCACAGCATGTTTACAGGCAGACATAGAGGCCTAGGGCCTTGCAGTGCACAAAATCTGTAGACCAACGGGAGACTTGTGTTGAAGGCAGTACTGAAATGAGGTTTGAGCGGGCTCGGTATTCCAGAAAGGTACTTCAGTCTCAAGATATGCAGCTGAAGGAAGTTGAGAGTGTCCTGGGATCAGTTTGCTTCATCAGAACAGGCATGTGGGTGGGGAGGACTCACGAAGGTCTCAAAGGCCAGTGAGCTCTGGGCATGCACCAACCTCCAGGCCTCCCTTACTCTGCCTGGCCTTGCAGGTGCCTTTCACCGAGGGACAGGTGGATTTCCAGAGTCCGTCCAGCTTGTCCCCTGATGGTTCCTCTGTTTGTAACAAGGCTGTTTGTCCTTTCTTTCCAGCATGTGGACACAGGGAACTCTTACCTTTGTGGGTACCTGAAGATTAAAGGCCTGACTGAGGTAAGCACTCCTTCAAATGAAGCAGACTAGAAAGTGGAACGCTTGCTCAGCAGTCTCAGAGCATGAGAGGAGGCAGTTTCACCGCTCTGAGGCCTGGCTCGAGCGCCTGGTTTCAGTGTGGTTATTGTACGGTAAACACAAAGCATGCAGTTTTGATGTGTCCTGTTGGAAAGCACACAGATTCACAGATCTGTAAAGAAAAGTTTGTAAGTAAGTTACAGTGTGACTTTTTATTTTCAACCCTTTTTGAGAAAAAAATATATATTAAGAATATAGCAACCACACTCATCATAAGTTTAACGATTTCTGAGGTAAGGACCAATTGGTCAAGAATGGAGGTCTTTGAGGTTCTTTCAACCCCTCAGGTCACTGGAACAATGAACAGTGATCATCCTTAACAGAAGTAACTGCGTAAATGTAGAGTGTTTTCCTTTCTTCAAAACAACTTTTTAAACCTCAGAACTCCTGGAAATAGAGAAAGCAAGAAAGAGCACTAGTGAATAACAGGAAGAAGGCTAGTGAACGGGCTGCCTCGCTCCACAGCAAGGGCCTGGGCTTGACCTGGCTGCAGGGTCCTGTTGGCCTTCGCACTTCTCACCGTCTTTATAGCCCAGCAGGGTTTGGAAATGAGTGGAAATGAGAGGTGACATTCTCACTCTACCCCTTACTGGTTCCATGCCCTTTCGTTTCTCTTCATTTCAGTTTCCTCATCTGTAAAATGAGAATTAAAAATACCTGTTCTGGGGGCCGGTGCAGTGGCGTAGTGGTTGGGATCACGTGCTCTGCTTCGGTGGCCTGGGGTTCACCAGTTCACATCCCAGGTGCGGACCTACACACCGCTGGTCAAGCCATGCTGTGGCTGGCGTCCTACGTTTAGAGTAGAGGAAGGTGGGCACGGATGTCAGCTCAGGACTATTCTTCCTCAAAAAAATAATTAAAAAATACCTGCTCAGTCTCTTCCAGGGGCTTGTGCTAGTGAGGAGGAAACAATGTAAGAGCAAGTGGTAGGCTGTACTGTGATACAAACGTGGAATACTAACCGCGGCCCTGGTTAACCTCCGTCTGGAAACAATTGTTTCCATCTCCTTGATTCCATCTGCCTCTCCTACTTCTCTGGTAGGAGTGTGACAATTTCCTATGAAGTTTGCTGAAGATGAAAGCCAAGTGAAGGGCTCTAAGCTTTTACTTTGTAGCAGTAGAAAACATGTAGTAAACAATGCAGTGTTGATGTGTCCTATTGGATGCAGGCAGCCAAATTATTTATTAATTGAGTGCAGAACATAAACATTTAACTTCATAAGGAAACCAGCAAAATTTGATGTGTGGAATGTTAACACTGGCTCCAAAACCAGTCATTTTGGTTATAGGAAGCTGCACAGAAATGGTAAATAGCAGTAAAAATCCTGAAACCGTGTACAGAAATGCTGTGAACTTCCCATGGGGAGCAAGTAACCCTTACTGAGGGAAGCACCTCTGAGTCATGAGCAGCCAGGCTCCCTTGAGGAGGTGCTGTGGGCACGGCCCTTCCCTGGGGGTCAGCCCAGGAGGATTGAGGTTCACGACTGGAATGGGAAGGCCGTCCCTCCTGGCCAGCACTTCCTGCCTGCAGGCGGAGTGACCTCAGGGGCACACGCCTCCCCAGAGTGGCCTGCTCTGGGTCGAGCAGTGGGCGCAGCATGTAGTCAGAGAAAGGCTCATGTCCTCCCTGAGGTTCCTAAGTCCTGCTCAAGCCTCAGGATTCTTTGAATTCATCTTTTTTAATAACTTTTTTTTAGGCGCTTTACTGAAATATAGTTCACATACCATACAATTCATTTATTTAAAATGTACAATCCATTGGCTTTTAGTATAGTCATGGCATTGTGCAACTATTTAATAACTTCTTAAATTACAAATCTAATACGTGGTCGGCTGTAGATAATCAGTAAAGTGCAGAAAAGGGTGACAATTCTTTGCATGATTTTACAACTTTATTAAATACAGTTATCCGTTTTTGTTTGCTTTCCCATTTATAGTTGTCAAAATATCAAACATAATTTATTTTAATAAAACTATTTAAATGGTTTGGATTTTAGTCATAGTCTTCCTCATGTATACAATATGGAAAATTATTAAATTGGAGATAATTTGCCTCTTAGCCACCTCACATTCACAAGTAAGCACAGCTTTAAAGTTTGTGTGCTTTCTGAAAATGAAATCTCAGAATCATGGAGAATAGGTGTCAAATGACATTCTCTTTGCAGTTCTGAGCCAGCGACCAGGAGGGAGAGGTACCATCCCTGGGGAGGGCCCCCGCCGCTGGCATGGGGCCTGGGAGCCCAGCCTTTGGGGAGTCACAGCCAGGCCCTGCACTCACTCACTAGACAGATTTGGAACGGTTTGGAAGCTCCCGCTGAGGTTGTGCTAGACTTGCTTGGAACCAGGGAGACAGGTCACACTAACCAAACTCATAAGAGACTGATACGTAAACAAGAGTGCTTGTTTACTCACTTACTAAACGAAGTACATGCATGTTCTGGAGGTTCTCTCTGACTTACTGGCCAATGGAATGTTAATCTCCCAGAAGGCAAGTCTACCTAGAAAGCCGGACCCATCATCAGACAGTTTTTAGCGGGCCTGGAATCTGTGAGGGGAGTGGGTTGGGCAGCCTAAATGCCTGGCGACAGCCAGACCCCCCCCATGAAGCCCTCCCCTGCTTGCCGGCTGGGGCCGGTGGTGCCTCCCCCCTCTGACATCCCACCTTCACTGACAGAGGCTTGTGTTGGACTTTATAAATTACCACCAATTTGGCTAGAGTCAAGTGTTTGAATTTCCTGGTCCTGCCCTGAGACCTATTTTGTCTTTTTGGTGACTTCTGCACACATTGGCTCTCATTCCTTAGGTATTTATTTTATTTAATTCTCAGAGTTTTAGTCACCGTGATATATTGCATAAAACATTTTTTAGAGAGAAGTCAGTGCAGAATTATTCATTAGGAAAACTAGTGATTTGAACTGTAAGTATTTTCTTTGTATTTAATAGGACCACCTTATCATTTTGTTCTCTCTCATTATTTTTTGTGTGTGTGAGGAAGATTATCCCTGAGCTGACATTCGTGCCAATCTTCCTCTATTTTGTATGTGGGACACTGCCGCAGCATGGCTTGATGAGCGGTGTGTAGGTCTGTACCTGGGATCCAAACCCGCAAACCCTGGGCTGCTGAAGCGGAGCATGTGAACTTAATCCACTATGCCACTGGGCCGGCCCCTGTTCTTCTCTCTCTTTGTGGAAGTTTTGAAAAAAATTAGAGTTCATAACTCAGAAAATCAATATAAATAGCTTTTAATTTAAAATCTCAAGTCAGGTGCTAACTTAACATAGGTCTTTTTTCCTTAATACTCCTTCCTAAAGCATCTTGGTATAATTTAGTTTATACCTTAAAAATTGAGTTTCCATTTAGGAAATTTTCTTCTCTTTAATTTTTTTTTTTTTTGGAAGATTGGCACCTGAGCTAATATCTGTTGCCAATCTTCTTTTTTTTTCCTTCTCCCCAAAGCCCCACAGTGCATAGTCATATATTCTAGTTGTGATTGCCTCTGGTTGTGCTATGTGGGACGCTGTCTCAGTATGGCCTGATGAGCGGTGCCATGTCTGTGCCCAGGATCTGAACCAGCAAAATCCTGGGCCGCCGAAGCAGAGCGTGTAAACCCAACCACTTGGCCACAGGGCCAGCCCCAGTCTTGTGTTTAATTTCTTCCCGCTTTGTATATAAATATCTATATGAGGAATCCAGTAACAATGTTGGGGTTTGGAGGTTATGGGTTTGGGGGAGTGTTAAATGTGTAATATTTCAGAATCCGCTGGTAATAGAATAGAATGCCCTGGCGGAGTGTCATCATGAGGCTTTCTCAGTCACCACAGCCGTGCATCGATGTCATTTCCTGGGTTTTGCTGTAGCAGTCTCTCTCAGGAGGGTCCTGAGCAACATGGCCTACCCAGCTGGGAGAATTGGCAAAGCTATCAGAACTGATTTATTTTAAACATGTAGATGTTTAATAGAAAACAAGATGGGGCTGGCCCCGTGGCCAAGTGGTTAAGTTCGTGCGCTCCACTGCAGGTGGCCCAGTGTTTCGTCGGTTTGAATCCTGGGCGCAGACATGGCACTGCTCGTCAAGCCATGCTGAGGCGGTGTCCCACATGCCACAACTAGAAGGACCCACAGCTAAGAGTATACAGCTGTGTACCAGGGGGCTTTGGGGAGAAAAAGGAAAAAAAATAAAATCTTTAAAAAAAAAAAAAAAAAGAAAACAAGAGGGGCTTACATAGGGTCTGAAGAAGAAAGCAAGTTGCTCTGTGGCCCTGGGACGCTAGGACCGTAACCCATGGTTTGTCAGGCGTGGCCGTCATCGCTGTGCTCCCAAGAAACACCAGAGCTGGCAGGCTGGGCTGAGGGGTCATTTGGTTCATTCGTTGTTTTTACAAATGCAGAGAAATGGTAAACTTTTTTTAATGTTAACTTTTTTTCCGTTAATTTTATTTGCCTTTTGTTCAACTGGTAATAAGGAGGCACCAAGGATTTGGAAAAAAATTAACAGGAGTCTTCTGAGCACCCAATTAGCATGACAGCTTATTTAGTTTTTCAACAGTATTTTTTTATGGTTGTGGTTTTGCACTGCAGACCTGATCTACATATATTTTCCCTGGTATAAGTTGTCTTTAGTTCATATGATAGAATTAAATGTATCCCTCATATATCAAGGTATTCTACAAAAAAATCCATACCTGGAAATTTGAAGAATTGTTGTGTTCCGCCACATGGCCATCTGGGTGAGCAGTGCGGGATCGGTTGCTGAAAGACCAAAGACAAGACCCGGAGACAGCGAATGAGACATGTGGCTTTATTGGGAGTTACTTACAGGGAAGGTGCAGTGGTGGCCAGCTGGACAGCAGTGTGCACCCACTACTGCCCCCTGAGAGAAGCTGGCTTAAGTGGGCAGAGGAACAAAGGCTGTGTGCTTGCC